CGATATATGTATATAGGCGTCTCCTTCTTTGATCTCAATCGTGGGAATCACATCTTCCGTTCTCATAGTCACATCTCTTACGTGTGTATATGCATAGTGACAAAAGCCGGTTAAGTTTGACCATCTTTCTTGTCACACCTTATTATGAGTCAAAAGAACGGATATGTGGACAAAACAGATTAAAAGAAAAGAACGAGATTGGTTATTTAACCTGTTATTGACCAATACGAAAGACGAAAGAGAAAGAGAGAAGAAAAGAAAAGAGAAAAAAAAAGATATATATATATTGAACTCTTATTTCTTCCTTCTTCGTTTCGTTTGTCAGTTGAATATTGAAAACGAAGTGAGTTAGTCGAAAAAAAAAACTAATATGTATAACACAAGTGGAAGCGATATTGATATGGAAGAATTTGAATATCATTCTGGTTCACGTAAAGTAAGAAAAAAACAAATTAAGAATTTCTTTTTCATTCTATTTTCTTTTTTATTTAGATTGCTAAAACTCATGTTGAAAAAAAACGACGTGATCGTATTAATCGAAGTTTGGATGAATTAAAAGATTTATTATCTATTCATTGCGATGTAAGTTAACAAAAATATTCTAAAATAAATTTTATTCTATCTTTTTTTTTCTAATAGAAAGCACGTTATCAAAAATTAGAAAAAGCTGAAATACTTGAAATGTGTGTTGAATTCGTTAAACAAACAAATGGACATTTAAATAAAGTAAAACGAAATTATGAACAAGGTTATCAACAATGTACAAATGATGTTACAACATTTCTTAATACAATGCCAGAAGTATCATTTATTGATCGACAAAATCTTATAAATCATTTATCCACAGCAAATAATCGTCGTTTTCATCCATATAGACCATCGACAAGTCATCATTCAATAGTTAATGATTGGTTTAGTCGTTGTGGTGGAAAACAAAAATCTCTACCGGATACATCGTCATCAGAACGTTCAAATACATCAAGTCCATCATCATCATCATTTGATGATAGTAGTGAACGTTCGTCATCTCTTTGGAGACCATGGTGAACATCTTTTCTTTGTTATTATTGTTGTTGTTTGTAGTATATCTTTTTTTTGCCTTTTGAAAAATATACATTCTACATATTTATATGATGGAGAAACAAAAAACATTTTTGTTCATTATCAATGTTGCTTTAGATTTATTTCATCTTAATAGCAGGTGTTCTACACGTGTATGTTTTTGTACTCAATGGGCGCCATGTAAACTCATTATCAGAGGATGTTCATGACATAATCAGTACTCTTTTTTTTTTGTTAAGTCGATTTTTCAAACGGTCATTAGCATCTGCGTTTTCTTTTTGAAGGAATGTAAAGAATCTATATTCTGTTATTTTTTCTAATTATACATATGTATATTTTATTTGATTGAACGATAATTAGTTGACAACTAATACATTGTATTGAGACACGTGAAGCCTCAATATTATTGTTTGTATATATCCCCTCTCATTAACACTCGAGCAAAGTTCGTATTAAATATACAAAATTATCTCGTGTAAATGATATGATCTCTTAGCTAAATCATATATATATATATATATTCGAATAGAAAATAGATCGATTGCGTCAGTAAACATACGTCTAATCATCTTGATCAACAAAAAATAGAGTTTTCATTTTTCGAACTAAAATAATGTTGATTTTTCTCAACATTGATATTTCCGTTTTATCAATATCATAATGAATAAACAATAAAAAATGTTAAACAAATTTCTCTTCATATGATATTCGTCATAAAATCTATAATTTATTATAAATAAGAATATGTTGCCATGGAAGAAATTCATGAACTTGTGTTAATAAAAATCCATTAGATTCAAGTTCAAGTTTAGCTTGAGCAATAGACATTCGATGATCATTATACATATTAGGCATCCGACTATCTTCTGAACGATATTCAACTAAAACAAGTCGACCATTTTTTTTTAATGCATGACGTAATCCACTTAAAATAGCTGGTGGATTGATGCATTCATGATAAGTATCAACCATAAGTATAAGGTCACAAGAATTAGGTGGAAGATTTGCATCAAAATGAGAAGCATATGTAGGTACAATATTTTGTGCAAGTCCTAATGTATATGCATTTAACATTAACTGATTAAGCATTTGCGGTTGAAGTTCAGTTGAGAAAACACGTCCATATGGACCAACTAAACGTGCAAGACGTAATGAAGTAAAGCCAACACCAGCACCAATATCAGCTACAACCATACCTGGTTGAATATTGAGTGAAGCAAGCATATAATCAGGATATTCTTGCATATCACGTCCTGACCGCATTATATCATGAGCATTATGAAATGGTACTACTTCACCAATTAAACGACCCATATAATAATTACGACCATAGAATTGATAGGGTTGCGAAGGCCAATACATCTCTTTGTT